TTTATTGATTTCAGAGAGGAAGGGAGAGGGAAAGAGAGAGAGAAACATCAATGATGAGAGAGAATCATTGATTGGCTGCCTCCAGCACATCCCCTACTGGGGATCAAGCCCGAAACCCAGGCATGTGCCCTTGATCAGAATCAACCTGGGACCCTTCAGTCTGCAGGCTGACGCTCTATCCACTGAACCAAACCAGCTAGGGCCAAATATATTTTTTAAAAAAATTAAATAAAACTTATGGCCCTCCCTTTTCAACATTTGCAACATTTATGGGTGAAGTTGAGGTGCTGGTAAGACGCACCCCCTTTGCCCTGGCTCACCTGGGCCCTCAGCCAGGCTGCATCCCCTCTCAGACGCCCCTTCAGCCCCAGTTCCAGCAACAGGGTGGATGGCCTCGGAGCGTCCTTTCGGCCAATGGCCGTGTCCCAGGGTAAGACCTGCCTCCTCCCCTTTGCATGAGGCCCAGGCAGGGTTTGGAGTCTTTCTTAGGAAGAACATCTTGGAAGTGGCCCAACTGCATCCCAGCTCTCCTCCAGGGCTATTCTTAGACCTGCCTGGGAATGGCCCTCTGGGGTCCCAGGGCTCCTGTCCCAGCGGCCCCTGGCTTCTTTGTTTCTCCATTGGAGGGGTTGGGCAGGGGCCTGGGAAGTTATCCAAGGATGCGGGGGCGGGGGGCGGGGCCAGAGGCCAAGGGCAGGGCAGGCGTCCTGGGCCTCAGCGGGGAGCACAGCTCCCACCTACCGAGTCATCTGCAGGGTCTGAGGGAGCCAGCGCCCGCTGACCGCTGGTCAAGGAGGAGATGAGGAAGCTCAGACGAAGGGTCCTGGAGGAGGAATGTGGGGCGCGGCTACAGCGTTTGGACAGATTCAAGTCTCAGAGACTAATGAGAGGGCACGGTCCTCTCATGGCAAAACCAGGTGCAAGTCCCAGCTTGGAGGGCAGAGCCCTCCCAGCACAATTATAGCCAAAGGCTGTGGCTGTAAGCTCGACCTTATGGTCCGAACCTGCGGTCCCACATGGCTGAGTGATGTGGGCTTGATAGAGTTCAGGTGCATGTAATTGAGTGGATTAGAACATTGTTAACATCTTGACCACGCCCTTACTTTGCCTCGCGGAATCTGGTATAAAATGAAGACTCGGCTTGCGGGCGCCGGCGCTGTCTCTCCATCCGAGGGGCAGCGTCCGACACAGCTTTTATTCTCTTGTCTGTCTTTTCTAAATCCTTCACCCCCACCCCCCACCCCGCCGCCCTGTCAGGTTCACCCTTGGCCGTGCTGAAGAAGTGGATTGAGGATCCCTAACACC